GTTTTGTTTTGGTTTTTTTACAGCCTGAAAATGCAGCAGCAGTGGAGTTTCACCCTAACACCCACTTTCTACCCTGGCAGCTGCAGGTTTCTCACAGCAGTAGGTCCAATGGGCAACGCTTCCTCGGGAAGGCTGCACGAGCAGCTGTCTGCAGGATGCTCGCACAGGTCTAAATGCACACCAGAGAAGCTCAGGGGCCAGATAATCCCTGTCTCTGGCCAACAACCTTCCAGCAGCTGGAACAGCATCGCAACGCAAAATGCCCAGGAAAGAAACTATTAAAGGCAGCTCTGCAACCCTGCCTGCACCCAAGCGGAGGCTCTAATTCCATTTTATCTGCCTGTCATCACCTCCTAAAACAAGCCAGGCCCGTGTTTTAGTTGGAGAGTGCGGCGCAACTGGGTAAAAGAGGGTTTTGGTGCATAAAAATAATTCCGAGCGGGTCTGTTTACCACACACTGCTGCCCTGGGAATGGCCCATCGGCTGAGCAGCACGATAACAGGAGTTAGCACAATGCTATTTTGCGGCATTTACTGCGTTCATAAAGTTGCACGGGCAGGTGGCAATGGCAAGCAAAGCCCTTACCTTCCCCACTGCTTCCACACAGGCCTGTCGGTGGAAGAAACACACTCTCCTGATACAGCCCTGACTCCACCAGCTTCATAATTAATTTCTTCAGAGTTAGGCAAGGCTTTTACTGCAGGTAACACACTTAACAAGACTTGTACTGAGGAGAAGAACATTTAACAAGGTTTTTTCTAGGGGGCTGAAATTAAATAATCGTGGAAGTACAAGCACGTTTCCAGAAAAAGCAATAAAACTGCCTCTTTATTTTCAGATGAAATCTCCCCAAAACAGAGGGTGAGTAGCCGTCTCTCACTCCTTTCAGCTACTTTCTGTACTGAACACAATAAAGAGATTTTATATTTTTTTAATCAATAAATTAAGCTCTTTCATATGTTACTCTTGATTGAACACTAGTGTTTAGATGCAGCATTCTTCACCTGCAGGGCTGATTCACAAGGTTTTCACAGTCATAAACATTATGGTAAAAACTGCTCTTTTTTTTTTTTTTTTTTTTTTGAGCAAAATGAGGACTTAAGGTTTTGCATAAGCCCAAATAACGGGCAAAGACTAAATTCTTTTCCTATTGTTCTGTATCCTTTTTACTCCATATCAACGCAAATCCAGATTTTTCATCAGTCAAACCAGAAAACTTCAATCAATGCAAAAGACCCTTTTAATTAAAAGGAGGGAGGGAGGAAATAAAAATAAGAATTAAAAAAGAAAAAAAAAAAAAAAGGGAAAAGGAAAGGCTATTTTGGCCAGTCCTGCAGGCAGTTTCCCAAGCAGCAGACCACGGTCAGCAGGACCAGGGGGTGACCTCCCACCCTCACCAGCAGGCACCCAAAGGACCACTACCACCCGTGTCCAGCCTCAGCATGGAAAATGAATAAAAATGAATACGAGTGGACGTCCTGTGACATGGTGCTAGGTAGGAAACATGCTTTTGTTAAGAAAGTGCTGATGAGCATCAGCACAGCTGCTGGGTGCTGGAAGGAGCAGGCACTGTGAGCGCTGCTAACAAACAAGGAGTTGTCCAGCTCCGGAGGGGGGAAGGGGGCTGGGTTTTTAGGGCAGGAAGATCCCAATTTCATCTTCATTGCTGCAATGAGGCTCCGAGCAGACAGGCGGGCCAACAAAGCGTGCCCTTTGAAGTCCCAAGAGATTTGTTACTTCTTTCAACTTTTCAATCCGTCCTGCCAGCCATTTGCTATTGCTCCAGGGGACCTACTTGGGAGCCAGACTCGGTGCCTCCGCCAGCGGAGAACAGCGCAAGAATGGCACTTTGCACCAAAGAGCCTATTTCCATTAAAAATAAATAAATCACTTTACTCCAGCTCCCTATCACCAGAGTAACTAAATGGTAATTTCCTCTTCTAGATGACTTTTTTTTTTTTTTTAACTATTATATGTAAAAGGAGCACTGGTGATTTCCTTTTTTTTTTTTTTTTTCCTTTGGCTCTGTGCTGCCAATCCCCGGATTTTATAAAATCCTTCAGCAAACGAAACATACCTTTACAATCAATGCTTCCAACGGGAAAGAGAATTAGCCAAATAACTGTCAACTTCTGATCCGCCCGCGCCAGCCGGAATACTGACCGCAGAAGTACGGTAACTGAGATCAATAGGTGGATGCAAAAAGTCGGCGGGCGCAGCGTGTCGTCGTGCTGCACCGCCGCGGCGACTCGATACCAAGAGGAGCACGGCTGGGGAGGGGACCGAGGATGGAGGCAACACAAACGCTTTCTCAGGCAGACCCCCAGCTGCAGAAGATACTTTAAAAACAAATGGTATTTCAGAGGTATTCAGAATGATTTTAATACACTTCCTTTAAGAGAAAAGAGAAGTACCCACGGGATGCTCTGCTAGATAAACACTGATTAGAGCTGGGAATAACTGCTCACATATTAAATAACAGAAAATGTTGAGCGGCAGGAAGGAGACTGAAATAATATGAAATATTCCCACTCCGCAGAAATAGAGCCGGCACTCGGATGTTAGGAGCCCTCTGAAGTTTCCAGCTCGAGAGTTGCCTCTTTCCACGAGAAACCCTCCCTCACGCCTGCGTGCGCCCGTACCTATTTATAAACTTCCAGTAAAAAGCGACCAGTGCCAACTCCTGTCTGACATCCCGCTCCCAGAAATAGCCACGGCGACAGCTCCTGGACAGCCTTGGCCCTTCAGCACCGATGCCCACATGGCTGCAGCATTTCTCGTGGAGAAAAATAAACAAACAAACTCGTCCAAAAAGCAGCACAGCAACCCCGCGCCAGCTCTGGGACGGCAGCAGCACACGTGTGGCCAGGGGAGGTTTCACCACTGCCCTCCTTTGCTGCAGCAAAGCATTCGGGTGATGCCCAAACGCCCACACCTGCACCCCATCGCTGTGGCTGCAGTCACGCCACCACATAAACCCTCTGCAGCCCCTGCTCACAGCATTTTCTCCCCCAGCAGCCTTAAAGATGTGCTAAGGTGATACCAGCAGCATGCATTTGACTTCCAAACCTGCAATGCGGACACCCTGCGGGTCAGCCCTCCTTGCCACCTCCCCGGCTGGTGCTGCCCACGGTGCCCAAGCAGCAGAGCCCAGCACTGAGCCAGCTCGCTGCCTTCAGGTCCTGCTCCCAGCAGAGGATCCCACTTATTCCCAGTGCCTGAGCCAGCATACAGCTACAGAAACGTTCTGCTTGCTTCTCAGTTTCAGCGATTTGAGCGGTAAACTTCATACAAACCACACAAATCGCGAACTGCGGGCTTGTCATTCAGAACAGACTGTGTAGATGCTCGTCAAAAAAAAAGCAAACACCTACGCTGTTAATAAACAGCTGTCACAAGCAGCATCAGGCAGCAACAACGAGCACCCCTCTTACCCAGGTAACTCACTGGCTTCTGCCAAAACCATCAATGATCCTGGTGGGTTTTTTTCGGTGCCCATCTGGAGCTCTGGCACTGACACAGCACGAGACACTGTGCATGTCCCCTGCTGCCCCGCAGTCCCCACGCCAGCTTTTATCAAGCACAGGCTGCACTGAGCGCACTGCATCCCTGCCAGTGTGAGCCCAGTTCACCCAAAAAGCACCCCTATGCCCCCATGCAGGAGCTGGATCAGCACATTGCAGAGTGCTGGGCACTGGTCTGGCACTAGCGATACAAAGGCAGCACACTGCTGTGATGTACCCCGGAGCACCTCCCAAGAGCTCATTAACACAGTAACAAACTTCAGTTTCATTCCTTGCATGAGCACAGCCCGATGCTTTTCCCTCGGCTGGGTTACGATGCGCTGGAGTGAATCACAGCACACGCTCCAAGCCATTTGCCCTCACTGTCAACAAGTGGAGCAACCAGAGCGGCTCTACACTCAGGGAACATCTCTTCCTTCCATCTGGACGAGGATTTGAGGTCCAGATTACAGCCCTCTGAAGCACAAGGAAGATTACAACTCTGCCTCAGATTAGATTCTGGTGTATAAAATCACCCGGTGCCACCAGCTGCAAGGAAACCCTCGCAGGAGCTCTGTGATGGCACCTACACTAAGCAGGGGCTGCTCTGCTCCAAACCTCTCCACAGCTGATTTCTTCTGGAAATTCAAGAGCTTCTGGGCTGCCAGGGCTTCTACACTCAGCTGCTGCTCCCCAAGACCTGCAGCCAGTCCCTACCATGTGCAACCACCCCGTCCCCAAGCTGCCAGCTGCACTGGCCACAAACAAAGCCAAGCCAGCAGAACGATCCCTTTAGACCAAGGTATTGCAGTGGGGAAGGAGGAAGTTACCAACTCACTGGTGCTGCCAGTTCTGTGGTTCCAGATCAAGTCTCAAAGAAAAAAAAAATCCACAACTCTCACATAACACATGTGAACAGTTGTAACAAGGCAGAAGAAAACCCAGCTTGTGGACACCAACCCTCTCCCCAAGACACTCCAAGGTACCTGTTAGCAGAGAAACCCCCCAAAACCATTCCGCACACCCCAGCACAGCTTTGATTTCAGGAGCACAGCCCTCCCTTCCCAAATGCACTACCAGAGCATGTACCCACTCCCAGCACCTCTCCCTGACCCGCCTGCCAGCATCCAGACCTCACTGCTCGCCCCAGCAGCAGCCCCACAGAGCAGCAAAGTTCAGGCTGCTACATCCAACCTGCTCTCCATGAGCCGCTCGTGGCTTTTTGGCAGCCTCTGAAGCTGGGACAAACCAAGGTCTCCCCCTTCTCAGGGGCAGCGCTCCGAGCAAGCTGCAGCTCCACTCCTGGCTTCAAGGCTCACCCAGGCAAAGGGGAAGAGAAAAAAAGAAAAAAAAAAAAAAAGGGAGGGGGGTAGGGGGGGCTGGAGAGTGACTACTGCTTCAGGGCAATTCACTTGAGGTTGTCCTGAGAGGCCAGCAAAAAGCATCTCCTGTACCTTTGTCACTTGTCTACTGCAACCACACTGGACTGAGACACATTATTATACAAGTTTTATTTTAAAATCTCTTTATTGTTAAGTACACCACAGTAATTTACACGTTCTTACAAAAACACTCCCCAAACACCCTTCCCTGGGCCACTGCAACTGCCCCAGGATTCCCCCCCCCCCGGCCTTTTCAAATGATAGACAAACCTTAGTGTCTGGAGAAGTTTTCCTTCTTCCCATCCCTTTAAGCTGCGGAGTCACCAGCCAGCCATTATGCACATTACTACAGACTGCTGTGAGAATTGATTACTGACAAAAGCTATGTTGTCAGCGATGAAGGTCTTGCGGTTTACAGATGGATACCGTGCAATTTTTCTCCTACTAAACTAATCAAAATTGCATCGTGATCCACCCGACAACAGCAAAACAAAGCTTACCAAACTGGCAAACGTTAAGCAGCGCAGCCTGAAGACAAGTCCTCCTTTCCTCCACAGGCCGGGACAAGTGCAATACTCTACACATAGCTACAAGTAATGCAACAAATCCCCACCCATGGAGAAACCAGTGCAAGGCATCTTCAGATCTTCACGGCAAAAACAGAAAGCTTCAAAACCCATTATTCACCACAGATTCACCACCACCACAGTCAGTTTTGCATGGATTTGCACAGCAATTTTAGTAAGCTGGGATGCAAACCTGCAAAACTGACTGTAATCAGTACCATCTTCTCCAGAAACTGCCACTAGCTAGGATGCACTTTATCTAGCAGTACTGTAAGTGCCCACATTACAGTAGGTCCGATTCAAAGCTACCTGCACTATGAGCACTTTGATACTGCTAGGACAAAACTACTTCCTGAGCAATTGCCTTCAATGAACAAATGCTTTACCTAAAATCGTAGTTGCTGAGCTAAGCCAGATGGACGCGTGGTTTTGGACGTGCAGGCAGCAGCTTGTGCCAGAAGGAGCATTTAGGGCAGTAGATTCTACGCTACTTCACTAACTGCACTAGATGCACCTTAACACAAGAACCATTTGTAACGCAGCAAAACAACAGTCCCGGTTATGTCTGTGCCCTGCTACCGTCACTGAATCGCCACAGTAATGCCAGAAGTGCTTATACTGCAGTAGATCCTAAACTCTACCTGCACTGTAAGCACTTTTGCACAACTCAAGGCCCATCAACAGATAGAAACTCTTCCACTTAAAAGCTCTTCTTGTTTCCGCGCAGGCGAGGCATCGCAGAAGTGTCTTGACTGAAGCACAGGAGCCAACGGTACCTGCCAAGAGAGAAGACCAATATTAATGTTGCATGACACGTATGGATTCGCTACTCAATTTAGTGGAGGTTTTCTTGTGGAAGCACAGATGCGGAGACCGGTTTGAACTTTTGGGACTGCAGTTAGACAGAGAGCGCACCAAAGGAGGCCGAGCTTACAGCTAATTTCCACTTAAATTAAGGTGAAAATGGCTTCCCCCAGTTGAGAAGCACGGCGGTAGGTATCAAAACATCCCGATTTCCTGCCCTGCCGTGCTCCCGCGGCACGTGAGCCCTGCTCCTTGACCTTCCTCGTGGGGCTTCCCCCGACGGCGCAGGGCGAGCTCTGCAGGGTCTGCGCTCCAGATGATGCCGCCCGCCCGCCGCGGGGCAGCACAAAGCACCGGGCGCTCCTCGTGGGAGAGCTGGGGGGGGGGGCCCATTTCAAACCTCCCTCCGCAGCCACGCTGTCAAGCCCCAGCCGGGGATGCTCGGAGGCACCGGGACCCCCCCAGCGCCCCGAATCCCACTTCTTGCGGGGCTCCGTGCGTTTGTTTGCTCGGGGGGGCCCCCGGCCGGGCACCCCCCTCCGGTACCAATTTGGGGTTGCTCGGGGGGGCGGCCACCGCCACGTGCACGCCGCCCCCACCCCTCGGAGCACCCCGGGGTGCGTGTGGGGGGCGCCCCCCGTTGTCCCCTCGGTGGGGGCTCGCCCCGCCACGTGCCGCCCGCCCCGTCCGGGGGCCGCGCGCGGCGATTAAAGCTCCGCCCGCAGCACTGTGGGAAATGCAGTTCTCCATTCAAAGCCCCAAAAACGCGCCAAGCCGCCCGCCCGCCCCCCGCGGCCCCCCCTCCAACCCCCCCCCCCCCATCGGGCAACCAGCGAACGCCGCCCCCCCCCCCTTCACATCTCACCCCCCCCCCCCTCCTGTGCCCACCGGGTGAGAAGCAGGGGCCGGGCCCCGCCGCTAACTCGCCCCGACGGCTGCTCCGCGCGGCCCCTTTGTCCCGGCCCGACGGGGGCAGCCCGGCCGCCTCCCGCCGCGCCTCCCTCCCGCCCCCGTTCCCCCGCCGGCCCCACCGCCGCCACCCTCCCCCGGTCTTGCCTTGAGCTCGGCGGGGCCCCGCCGCAAGCCGGGCACGGCGCGGAGCGGAGCGGAGCCGATCGCGGCGCCCCGACGGCGGCTGCCCCGAGCGCGTGGTCCCGGCTCCGGCTCCCGCCCGCCCCCTCCGTGCGCGCGCGCGCGCTCCCCTCCCTCTCCCCCCCTCCCTTCCCCTCCCTCTCTCCCCGCCCTCCCTCCCGCGCGCGCGCCGCCTCCCGCCCGGCCGCGCACTACAACCCCCAGCGCCCCCCGCGCGCCGCGCATGCGCCCCGCCGCCTCCCCCCCCCCCCGTTACTACTCCTCCTTGCCGCCATGTGCTCGCCGCGCGCGCGGCCCCCCCTCCCCCCACGCACCGGCCACGCGGGGGCGGCGCGCGCGCGCGCTCCCCCCCCCCACTCTGTGTGCACCGGGGGGGGGCGAGGGGGAACCGCACCGGGAGGGGGGGGCGGGAAAAACGTGGGAAGGGGGGGGCACGGCTCAAAACGCCGCAGCCCCCCCCGCGGGACCCCGAAGTTTCGGCCTCCGCTTGGCCCCGGCTATTGTTGGAGGAGCGGGCACCGGGGGGGGGGAACCGGGGAGGGGGCACCCCCAGGAACCGGCGGCTGCGGGGAGCTGGGGGTGGGAGGTGCGGGCCCGTGCGGGCGGTGGGGAGAGCCCCGCGCACTCCTACAGGTGGGTGGCGGCCGCCTGTGCCCCCCCCCCACACACACACACCGCCGGGTTGGGGTCGGGGTCGGTGTTGGGGCCAGGGTGGAGGCGGCCGGGCCCCGGTGCTCGCCCCCCCCCACCCCCCGCCGTGGGCACCCGGAGCGGCGCTGCCCGAGCGCGGGAGCCGCGCCGAGAAGAAGGAAGAAAAGAAGAAAAAAAAAATAAAATAAAAAAAAATAAAAAAGATTAAAATCAAAATAATAAAAGAAGCGCGAACCCCGGGGGCACCCCCCGGTCCGCGCCGGGGTCGGTGGAGGGAGAGGAAAAAAAAAGGGCCGGGAAGCGGCAGAAAGCAGAAAGATAAACACGTTACCTTTTAGCCCGAGCAGAGCCCTGGAATAAAAAGGGTTTTACGAAAGTGGCGCGAAGACAATATCATGTGATCCCAGCCCAGGGCGGCTCCCTCCCGCACCGACCAGCCAAAAAAAAGAGAGAGAGGAATAAAGAGGGGGGAAAAAAAAAAAAAAAAAAAAAAAAAAAAGTACATCCGCTCCCCACGCCATTAGCATAATTAATTGTGTCCTGCAGCTGCAGCCGCGGCTCCCCGGCCAATGGCAGCCGGGCGGCCCCGGCCTCCTCTTCCTCCCGCCCCGGGGCCAGCGGGGCTGGGGGGCGCCGCGTCCCCCCCGCAGCCGGCCTGGGGGGGAGCCGAAGCTCCGCGGGTGCTGCCCCGCACGTGGCCCCGCTTTTTGGGGGGATTTTTGGGGAGCTCCCCCCGCGAGGGCTCGAGGGGTGCCCCTCGCCCGGCGGGGCCGCTCCCCCGGGGGTGCAGCGGGGGCCGCTCCCTGCCCTTCACCCCCGACCACCGCCCCCCGAGGTTTTGGGGCTCCCCCGCGGCCACGCCTGGCTCCCCCTGCACCGAGGGCCCCGCTCGGTTGTTTTGGGGCGAAAAAACCCCGAAAACTGCGGCCCGGCCTAGCGGGGCCTAAGCGGCGGCGTGGTAGCCCCCCGGGCGGCGCCGCTCGCCCTGCCCGGCTCCCCCGCACCTCGCCCCGCCGGGGCGACCCCGAGGGGTCCGCTCGGGGATGGGGGGACCCCGACCCTTAACGGGGGGGGGACACCCTTGCCCTGGCAGGCGCCCCATGGGCTGGGGAGAGGGGTCGGCCTGCCCTGGCGGGCGGCCCTCGCTGGAATGCCAAAAATGTGCTAATTGTGCCCTGCCAGCGGCCGCCGTGCCTGAGGGATTAGAGGTAACCATCTCCGGGGAAAGAAAGGCGCCTGGCGAGCGGTAGCCAACGGGCCCGGGCCCGCAGCACCCCCCCCCCCCACAACCCCATGGCCGCTCCTGGAGGTGCCTCGTGTGGCCCCGATCGCGGCCATCGCAAGTTGGAACAAAAAGGTCCCCATGGAAACCGGGGAGTAATCTGTCAGCTCCGCGGCGAGAAAGGGGCTTTTGTCCCGCCTGTATTTACTGCTGTTTAATTTCTTTTTTTTTTTTTTTTTGGAAATCCCGCAGCCAAGTTCTTCCACATTTTTGTTTTTTATTTTTTTTTTTGGGGGGGGAGGGCTGCCGAGCTGCCCCCGAGCTCTCTCCCCGTGTGCGTGAGGCCTAAAACAAAGCGCCCATGGCAAGGCGAGATGGGAGGGCTCCCTGCCCGCACGAGCATTTCGGAGGCTACTTCGGTATTTCTTCCATTAACAGCCACCCGCTCCTCCGTTATCAGTGGAAATGCTCCGCTCGGATGGGTCTCGGCGAACTTTTCTGGTGTAAAACATCTCCGGGTGTCGAATTCACCGACTTCTGGTTTGGAGCTGCGGGGACATTTTGTGGAACGGAGAGCTCGGGAATAGTCGAAAGTTGAATTTTCTCCTCGTTAGCCGAAATACCTTCCTGAAGTCCTGAGTCGAGAATGACAAAAGAGAAAAAAAAAAAAAAAGAAAGCTCAACATTAAAGTCAATAATTTAGCATGGGTGTGTAAACTTGCGATCAATGCCTCCGCAGAAATAGTGTAGCGCATTCACACGGCAATGAAAAATACAAATGTTCCAGAAACTCGTGTATACACAATAGCATGGAAAACATTCCCAAAGAAAAGAGATTCCAGGTCTAACTCTGTCATACAAAACTTTTTAAAGACTTGTAGCAAATAAGCATGAAACACGTCACAGTACTAGGAAGCTTCCTTATATAAGAAAGGAATCGTATGCTTTGATATTTTTGATTGCTTAATATGCAAAGTTGGATCGTAACTATTACTCAAATGTTATATAAAGAATAAAGTATGTGTAAGTGTAGCAGCTTTTACTCAGCACATGGTGCAAATTGATTATCTCTTTTCTGTTGGTGTAGAAATAAAGTAGTCTTTCAACAAATAGAGTCTGAAGATGGTGAAATAAGTCTACATGAAGTGTTACACAGATAAGATTAAACGGTATTTTTACATCCTCCTGCTGACCTTTGACTTGTATTTTTGTGTATCTTGGAAGGGAGTCTTGGGGTCTGCAAATACAGCAGTTGCTAAAAAAAGCAATAGTCAAAAGAAAAAAAGCGCTGGAACATTTCTTAATATTTTAAAGGATATTGTCTAGCTAAAGCATTCATCTGCATAAAGTTCAGCACTTTGTTGATGGTCTTTTCAAATGCATATGATTTACAGCTTATAAGGTAGCGCTTGTATGACGCGTTACTTCTTGGGGTAAGGTTTTGTTGCAGGTTAGGAGGAACACTACAAAGACTGAGGTATTTCTATATAGGGACAAAGAGAAATGTTTTATTGAAAACCGCTTTAAAAATTGATGGTGAAATTATATTGCTCGCTCTTTTACTCTACGTCTATGCAAAAATTTGGATTTTTTTTTCTCTAATTGAATCACGTACATGAATACTTGCTGAGAAGATATTTCTCTTTCCTTCGTTGCACTTTTCTTCTCAGTGTTGCAGATAACTCTGTTCTATCTCATTATGGTTACTGATTCATTCATACTCTTTAACAGCTATGGTCAGGGATTGCCTTGGACTGCCTCTTCCACTTCTCTTTCCTTCAAGAATTAGAACTATTGTCTGACCTTTTTTCATGCAGAGGAAAGCTCAGTGAATTGTGCAGAGCTATCTGGATGCATAAAAGAAATGAAAATGAGAAACAAGAGGGATTCATCTTTGTGAAACAGAAAATTATTTTTCAGAAAAAACTATTCAGAGATACATATGAGTTGATGTATGGAGAGACTTCTGACAGATTGATAAAATCTAAGTTATTTTTCAAAACTCTAGGAATATTTGAAAGCCTTAAGAAGGAATTCCACTGAAGTTGCAAAACAACAGGATGAAATCAGTACCCAGAAATCATTTTACAGCCAAGTCTGGAGTCTCTCAGATGTAATATTTCATAGTTTTGGAAGAGAATGTTCACACCGAACAGGTCATCTTAAAAAGAAAGAAAGAAACAAAGAAACAAACAAACAAAAAGAATGTTTAAGAGAAAGTACTTTAATCATTAGCTACAGAGTTACTCTCCTGATCCAAAAGTGATGGCTAACTTTTTCTGAGAATGCTCACACTGTCACAAGTTTGGTAAATCTTTGCAGGAGCAGAGTTCCTTAAAGATTTGTCTTAATTTTGTGTTCTGCACACTTTGGATTGTTCATATAACTGTGGATTACGTGTCATTTCCTGCTAAACTGTCTTTGTTTTAAAGCATTCAGGTGAAAAATAGGTTGAATGAAAATTATTCTTTTGAGGACAGACAAAAAAGAAATACTTGGAGGTTATGATTCAAATTTTTCCTCAGTGTCAATGAAAAATTTAACTCAAGTTTATTTTCTGAATAATCTCTATGTATTTGCACTTCTGTATGAAAAATAACTGATAGTAGAAAAAGTTTTTACTGCAAAAGATTTCACACCTTTGTCATTGTCTTAGTAAAACAGATTTGAAACTAACATTCACCTTTCTATTTATTGTACTTCATCTGTGAACCTTTAAAATAGGAACATAAGCTAACCTAAGTTATCTGCATTCTTGTTATGTGAAACACGTTTATAAAACCACTAAACCCACTCCTAAATAAGGCCAATCTACATATAAAATGACAAATTATTTGCATTGGGAAACATATATATAGAAACAACATGCAGTTTGTCTAATTCTATTATTTTTTCTTTTACAGTATTGATTGCTGTGATAAATAATATAACATTTTATGTATATCTGATATGCTTTAAAGGATTGCTGCATACTAATGTCTAAAAGCTGTCTTTTTAAGAACTCTTTTACAACTCATTATAGACATGTTTATTAAATCAAAATGTAAATATAAAGAATAAAAGCTCTGTCTGATATTTATTTCCATAGTTCAGTAGATATGTAAATATGTTAAATTCTGCATTTAGCTTTCCAATCCAGGCTGAAATTCAATTTCTCTGCAACTCTTTTATGCAATTTCTATAGATTTTGATTCTGTGAGTTGCTTCCACTTTCATTGAGATCAGGGGAAGTTAAAGAAACTCATCCTTTTACGGTACTGAGTTCTTCATGTTTTCTTTCTGGTTTCACATGGGTTAAAGCCTGAAATCTGGATATAAGTTGTCTACTGAAAGGCAGTTACTTGCATGAGTAAATAACCCACGTTGTGTTCAGAGGACAGGGCCCAATATAATATTGAACTGCTATATTGAAAATGCTTCTCAGTAACAGTTTTTTCTTTTTTTTTTCTTTTTTTTTTTCTTTTTTTTTTTTTTTCACATCAAAATCAATTCTTTGAAGACAAGAATTTTGAATACACAGCCAATCTGGCCACATAGTTTCTCTTTCGGATTCTCAATAGATAGGCTTAGTCTTGTTAAACACATACATCCTCAGATACATATCCTTCTGCCATTTTAGTAAGATCATGGATTATACCTTCCCATATTATTTTATTAAACTCTCTGTGGTTTGAGACTCACCTTTCTCATCAAAAGGTTTTTGTTGTATTACTGTTTCTTTACTTTATTTCACTCCAAATGTATGTATTCTTCTCAGACAGGTTCCAAAATTTGCTAAATATCACTGATGTTTTGATTATTTGTATATATAATGACATTTTATGCCATGTGCATATCCCTGTATATGAATTACAAAGTACAGTTTTCTATTTTGTAACTGTGCACAACTTCCCCTTTTGTAAATTGCTTAATATATTTTATTTCTCCACAGCTGGCAATCAGAATATGTTGTGAGTTGTCAAGATTTTGTATAAATCTTAATTTTCATACAAATTAATATTGACATTAGAGAGAGAAAATATTACCCATGATGAGCCACACTTCTCAGTAGGTGCTCAGGCCCTTAAAACTCTGTAAATACCTTCAATGGGGGCTGTATAAATTTGCAGTTCATGAAAACTCTGTCTTGATGAGCAATCATCTTTCCATCAGAATGAGTTACAAAGGCAGGTTACACTGAGACTGATGTGATAGACGCTTCATACGTGCACTGGGCAGCTCACAGACATGAGCAGTCCTACAGATTATTCAGCCTAGTCCAAGGGTAGTGGGCAAGGTCAGGGAAGACTTCAGTCCCAGTCCTGCACAGAATTCTGTGTACACGCTTAACTCCTCCTTCGAGTCAGTGGAGCAGAATAGTACATGCTTAAACTTCACAGTGTGTAAACTTAAAAGCATGCTCAAGTCATTTCTAGATGAGACATGTACTTCCAAAATATACTTCCTTTACGCCACGTGACATTTTAGAAATGAGTCAATAAATTACTGTTTGACTGCAGGTTACACATAGAATTTATATATATATACATATATTTGAGCTTTGTTGCTCTGTTACTGTAGGATGTGATGTGATACTGGCTATGTTTTTATTTGCTATCAACATATATTATCAATGTTTGATGTAAGGACCTGATGAGAAGCCCCAAAGACCCAAAGCTTGTCTTCCTGTTCCCACTGTGCCATGACATCTAAATGTTGCTTTCTATCCAGAAGTTCCTTCTCAGGTAAATGGAACACATTTACCTTACCCCACTTGGTCAGCTTATATACACTCTAGGAGGTCAAGCTAATGCTAGATTCTGAGAACAGTTTCTGACAGGCAGCCTCTAAAAGGAGGCAGAGGTATAGATATTTGAACATGTGAGAAAACTGGCAGCAGGCACACATATTGTATAATCGTGCACAGTCAAAAAACAGCTGGTACTTTTTTTCCGACATTGAATTCCTACAGTTATGTGCAACATGCACTGCTAAGATCCTTCTTTCTCTTTCTTCTCTCTCTCTCTCCCCCTCTGAATAAATATTAGCACATTGCAGACAGAAGCTCTCAGGTTGTCTGTTTAATGTACAAAATTTCCATCGATGCTGGGCAGCCTTTATAAACATCTGAAACTGCCAGGTGCACCTGCTTCGCGTGGTACCATCAGCACCCAGAGCATCCCCGAGGCCCTGTTGTTCTGTGCAAGATCAGAGCCCGTCATTCTTCAAGTGCTCTGACAATCAGTATGTCTTCAGGAGCACTGACTGCACCACAGCAGACATCCTCAACAGAAATCAGTGTATGTAGCCATTACATTCAAAATCCTGTCAATTAGGCTGCGCTCCTCAGAGCAGGGTGGTGCAGAGTACTTTTAACCTCCATTTGGGAGAGGCATTTCATTATGTAGCTTCTCAAAGTTTCCCTTCGGTGATTTCCATTCCAAACGTTTGTGCAGGAGTGGAGCAGCACTCGAAGTTGCAGCTCAGAGAGCCTGTTGCCTCTTGCAATAGCACTGTGGAAATCCAGGGAAGAGCTTAGCTCACAGCGTAGCTGAGACATGTCGGTTGAGACCTCAGGCTGACTAAATAACGCTAGGGTCTACTCCAGCCTGTAGAGCAGCTCAGGATTAGAAGGGCATAAAAACAGCTTAAACCT